CACAACGCTCTTTTTGACAGGTCGTTGGAATGCCTAATTAGCGGTTTTTTGTTTTGAACATAACCTTAATTTTAATTATTATAATTTGTAAACAATTAAAATAATTCTAGTGGATTTTTATCTATTCTCATTTATTCCACGTGGTTTTTCATTGTGAAGTGAATATGGTCTTTTGAGTGTAGTTTTCTGATTGGTAGATCTGGTTAATACGCAGTTAAGTATAAAAAACACAAGATTGGTTTCCTATAGGGTTTGGTTTCTAAAACGTTCTCTTCTTCTGGCAGTGCTCTGGCAGGCGAGTCATTTTTATTTTTAATATTTTTTTTTTCACATTTTTAGATTCTCCCTTATAAATTTTTCAATATATTTTGCCATCAGTGCATATTATCATATCATTGTTAAGTTTTTACATGATAAATCTTATCTTATCTATTCTTGAAAAAATATAAATATTATATTTCAATTTTTTATCTAATTGTGGGCCTCCACTTTGTGTGAGTGCCGATTAGTGGTGCCACGTTTTTCTGAGGTAAGTCAATTCAGATTTTTGGGCTACTAAATAGGTACTGCTGCTCTGGTTTTCAGAATCAATTGTTAGTGTGGGAATATTAATTGGACCATTTGCTCTAAATAGAGTCGGTGAAAACCAAATTTGTATGTCCATCCCTATGAACTCTTCATTGAATCCAGGCAGAGGCCTCTGTATAGCCATTTTCTGTTTGACTTCGTCAATTATTATCTTCTCGAAGAGAAAAGTGTTGAAAAAGGGTGTAATTTTCTAAAATAGGAATCCAGACAGGTCAAAAATTCATTTAAAAAGTTTTAATTAAAACATCTCAAGAACTTTTTATCTGATTTTGTTCTTATTCTTGCCTGTTATTGCTACTGCCAGAAAAGCAGCACCCTGCTCAATTTGTAACGAGCATTTTAATTTTTGCTGTTGTTACCTATTTTACTATTTGCTATTATTTTATCATTATTTTCAATTATTTAATTGTTTCTTTTTATATTAAATTATTATTTTTTTCTAATTTGCAATAGTTGCTCATACCTGATTCTATTGGAAAGGAGTGTCTACACAACAATGGTTTTATAATAAATTTCAATTTAAATTTTCTTTGCAAGACACTCACTTTTTGATAGAATTTAGGGATTTAATATTTCAAATCTTGGTGAACCTGATACTGCCTTATTCTTTTCTGGGTACCTACTCGACATAAAGATCACTGTTTGGAGTCTGGATCAGCTGGAGTGACGTCACCCCAGCAACACGAAGAGCTCCAGTTCACGAAAGTGAAACCCCAAACATCCATTGAAGAGCTCCGGATTGGACACCTAAGCTGTTAACTGTCAAATTCTAAAGCAAAGTAACATTGTTACTTGTTACTTACATTGTGAACAAATATTAAATAAAATTATTGTTTGTTGGATTTTGAGTGGTTTCATTTGCACATAAAGGGGCTACACGTTATCTTAATTTTTTGAATTCCACGACCCTAGGTTTTCTTGTCTTACGCCCGTATTCACCAAAATCAACTTAGCTATCTGATAGCTGTCAGTCTGTTAATATTTATCAGTCGGATAACAGCAAGTTCTATTCACCAATAAAAATGGTCCTTTTGACAACAAACAGACTGATAAATATAAAAATCCATATATTCTATGAACAGTTTTTCTCTTCATTTCATTTAACAACCTCAAAATTTGTCTGTATTATATTTATTTATTAATAATAACTTTTTTTGGGCTGTGAAACAAGTAAACAACTTCCTAATCCTAATAATTTGTCTAATAATAATTAACTATCTTATACGAATACCAAATGGAAAAAGAAACGGAGCAGCTAACTTTTCTGGTCGCAAAAAGGAAATTCTGAAACATTAAAATGGTCACCGCAATACAAAGTTGAAAAGACTCCGTCGTTGCAATTAAAATCTTATTTCTTTTAAATTGGTTTATTCCTTTCGTCCGCAATGGCTCCAAGACTAGGTTCAGTGTTCAGAGGTTTATTTTCAGCCTTTGAAAGCTATGTTTGTTTATTCTGCATCTTTTATGAAACTCCAAATCATCCAATTCAGTGAATAAATCATTCTAGCCCTGACATTTCTGGGCCTGGAAAGATCTTCATCTGATATATGGATCATCCAATGAACCTCCAAAAAAATTCAGGTCAATTTCACCCACTCTGTTCATTTTGCCAATAAACAAAAACTTATAAAGTACCTACCACAAATTAAAATTTAATGAACCATCCATTTCTTTCCAATTTATGGATATATTCGATTTTTTTTTGAAAAAAAAAAACAATAACAATAACACTTATCAGACAGATAACTTCCTTAACAGCCCAAATTTCGCCTGACAACTTTATCAGACTGATATCTACTACTCAAGGTTGGTGAATACCGAATTTTACGTTAACAGTCTGACAAGCAGTTTATCAGACTGATAAGCAGTTAGCGGTCATTGGTGAATACGGCCGTTAAAGTGCAAATAACGAGTGCCATTTGTAACAAAGAGTACAAGGTATGTTCGCACACTACTCAAATTTTATATACAAATTTTCTGGAAAGATACATCGCATCGTAAACGTGATAAGTTTTCCCATAAATAGAGAACAAATTCAAGCATTCGAAAGGCTGAAACAAGATATTATTGATGCTGTTGTAACGTTTGTTGATGAAAAGGTTCCATTTACAGTGGAAACAGATGCTTCTGATTTTGCTATCGGTGCTCAAGAACCTTAACAAAAATAGAACAAAATTATTTCATTATAGGGAAAGAAGCATACGCAATAATAGAGAATTATGGCACCTTCAAAAAGCGAGGGTCACCAATAAAAACGTCCTTATTTTGACATTATTGACACCTATGCATGCATAATTGTGACTAAAAATAGTGGCGGTCAGTAATAAAATAAGGATCATCCTTATTTGTGATTGGCTAATGAAAGGCAGTATTTATTCCACTATTTTTTGAGACATGCGAAATTCTAAATCGAATGTCAGTTGTCCAAAAATTTTTCAGATTCTAACCTAAAATAATTTATTTATATTTTTTGTTTGTGTTTTGTAAGTGGATAAAACCAAAAAACGTTATTTGCACCCTTTAGAATGGCAATGGCAGCTTTTAACATTTCTTCTATTATAGTTCGGTCTTTAGAAAGTTATAAGGTTTATGTTCAACAACGCAACACTGCAGCGAAGAAATGGTCAAAATAGTGCCAATTTAAAATGTTGTGCCTTAATTCTTTTTATTTATAAGAAATAGTGACTGTCAGTAATTAAATAAGGCCGATCAGTAATAAAATCGATCACTATTTGGAAAGTGCCATAATTCTCTAATAGAAGCTATAAGAAAATGAAGGCATTATTTAATGGGACGACATTTTAGTATAATCACTGATCAAAGATCCGTTTCATTTATGGTTGACAAAAAGAGTTTATCAAAAATCAAGAATGAGAAAATGATGCGTTAGAAAAAAGAATTATCATGTTACAAATTTGATACGATATACAGGCCAGGAAATCAAAACATTGTAGCTGACACATTTTCCAGGATATCAGCTGCTATTCAATCATCAACATAAGAGAAAAATTTGTATAAATTACACAACACAATGTGTCCTCCTGGTGTCACAAGATTATATCATCGGATAAAATGCAAAAATTTACCTTATTTACTAGAAGACATCAAAAGAGTTACCTATATCCGCATGTTCGGTTTGTGCAGAGATAAAGTCAAAGATTCTATAAAAACAAAGGAACTCTCATCAAAGCCATAGCACCATTAAATATTGACTTTAAGGGACCATTGCCTTCCAACAATCACAATAAATATTTATTAGACATTGTAGATGAATACTCAAGATTTCCGTTTGCATTTCCATGTTCAGATATTTCATCTGCAATAGTAACAAATTGTTTGACGCAACTCAATGTTTGGCACACCAGGGCCAGGTTATATTCACAGCGATAGAGGAGCATCTTCTCTATCTGTTGATGTGAAATCATTTTAACAAGTCATGGTGTTGCCACAAACAAGTCGTATAACTGGGTACAATCCAGAGGGAAATGGACACTGAAAGATTTAATGAAACAATTTGGAAGACTATTCAACTTGGAATTAAATCTAGAAACATCAACGTAAAACAATGGCAAGATGTATTATTAGATTCTCTACATTCAATAAGATCTATTTTGTGTACTGCAACTAATTCTACACCTCATGAACGCATGTTCAATCATCCTAGAAGATCGACTGATGAAACCTCAATGCCTACATGGTTGAGCACCCCAGGACCAGTTTTACTCAAGAAACATGTTAGACATACAGCAAATATGATCCACTAGTAGAAGAAGTTGATCTTCTGGAAGCAAACTCAGATTATGCTCATGTACGCCTATCAAATGGATGATAAATAACTCGTCATTTAGCACCAAGGGTAGATGTCACACTGCCAGCTCTGACAGATCAAGATCAAAATGGTCTGACACTACCAGAACAAGATCAAAATGCCATAAAATTGCCAGAACAAGATTTTAACGAGTTAACTATTCCTAAATAAAACCTTACATCAGTCGTTCTCTTCCCTGAAATTCTGAACACTCACAATGAAAATCCTCCAATTTTATCTACAAGTGAAACCTACTGATGAGTTCAGTCGTACTATGGTGAAAAAAAATCATAGGCCACCTTCATATCTTCAAGATTATGTCAGAAACTGAGCGAGGAACAATGTTGTATATCTTATTACCGCTTAGTTACTGTGTTTCCTATTTATTTACCTGTTATATTGTATGTTATGTCATTTATTGTCAGAATAACAGTGGAATTTAAGTTTATTATAAAGCCTTAATTCTGGAGGTTTTTACTACAGGGAGAAAGAAAGAAAAACAAGAACAGAAAGCCCAAAGAGGGCAAGAAAAACAAGAAGAACAAGATCATGCAAAGGAAGTTAAAAGTATTTGTAAAGAAGTTGGAACAATTAATTTACTTACTCCCTTGCACACATCCTTAGATTCCTTGGATAAACCTTTCGGATAGCTCACATTATGATCAGTAATAGAAGCGAACAATTCCTCTTCGTCTTCGCCGTCAAACGGAGGCTGTCCCACTAGCATTTCGTAGAGGAGAACACCATAAGCCCACCAATCTACTGATTTTCCATAGGGTTGATACAGAATAATCTAAAAAATTATGGAATAAAGTTTGTATTTTAGATTTTTAAAAATTACCTCTGGAGCGATATAATCCGGTGTACCGCAAAACGTTTTGGTAGTCTTATCGCCAAGAATACCTTCTTTGCACATTCCGAAATCGGCTATTTTGATGTGACCGTCCTGATCTAACAGGACATTGTCCAACTTCAAATCTCTGTACACGATGCCTCTTGAATGTAGAAAGAACAGACCAATTGCGATTTCTGCAGAATAAAACCTACGAAAATAGTTTCATGAATTAAAACTGAGAAAAATCAAATTTTTAGTTCTTACACTGCAACTGGTTCTTTGAATTTTCCGCATTGTTGTATTTGAAACATCAGATCGCCTCCATTTACATATTCCATAACAAAATACAATCTGTCCTGAAATAATGATTGCTCCAATAATTAATGCTAAATGACTAAATAATTATTTACCATTGTTTGGAAACAGGAATGTAACTGAACCAAAAATGGCGGTTTACTTGACAAAGCCAAAACGCGTTTTTCCACCATGGTACATTCGACATCGTCATCTTGAATTATAATGTCTTTTTTTAATATTTTGATAGCGTACAATTCGTCTGTACCTTTCCTTTCTGCCAACATTACCTGGAACGTTCTATAGTTAATAGCCCCTATAAGCTTATCGGCTGGAAAAAAAATCTTACCTTTCCGAAAGATCCTTTTCCTAGCACCATAAGAAAATTGAAATCTGTCGCTCGGATAATATCTTTTTTGCCCATATTGTGTGGTACATCTTTATCTTGGGTGATTGAAGGTTTTTTAGTTATTGACGTTTTCTAAAATAAATCAGAAAGACAAATATGTAGTTAATATAAATCAATTTATCTTCCAAGTAGTTCCTTGACAAGGGTACTTAAATGATTGAAAATAAAACGTATGAAACGCACGAGTGCAAGGCCCCTAGTTTATTGTTAGAGTTTTATCGCATTTTTATGGGCTCGTTCGTCTTTGATTTAATAGAGAATTTTACGTAGGCGAACCGTCTGCTTTTTTCCACGTCTTGAACAGTAAAAACGAAATTCATCAGAATTGCCAGAGACAAAAAGCAAACAAGGAAATACCAGATTCTGTAGTATTATTGGATTGTATATCCGTTCTTCAAACTTTCAGAGCTAAATTTTGCTGACCAGGGATATCTTTCTGGTCCGGGTGTTCTGGATCATTCATTGGTAAAAGGGAACTGAACTTCTTACTCCTTTTTTCTATGAATATTTTCTCCAATTTTTCTTTTAAAACGTTGTCTGTTTTTTTTCCGATTTTGCTATATTTTATGCTTGTCTTATATATTTTTTCTTATCTTTGTGGTCTTTATATTTATTGTATTTTGTTTTTGTCTTCTTTCTTAAATATTGATAATATCTGATTCTTGCCAATATTTTTTGGTATATTTTTGGCAATTGCATTCTTCATCTGTGTTTAAATTTTGTCTTTATTCAATGCTCTGCCGTATTTTAAATCACTTATCGCCATCTCTAGCTTTTCTATATGTTGTGTCTTATTGCTTGTGTTTGTTCGCTGACTTTTTTCTCAAATTTTTATTTTATGTCTATCTTTTCATAATTTATGTTCCTTTAATGGCCGTTTCCGCCAACTATTTTAGGGGAGCCTTAACGATAATTATTCCATAAACTGACATTTCTCCATGTAAAAATGTCATTTTAAGGAATACTTATCGTTAAGGCTCCCCTAACATAGTTGGTGGAGTGGAAACGGCCATAAGTATCTTTTTTTTTAAAGCTTTTCATCTAGTGGATTCTTTTTCTGAAACACTTTCTTAAACAGTTTTGTAAGTCAATGTTAATAATTTTTTATTTCATTTTGCTTGTTGTTTCAATTTTTCCTCAAGCCCTTCTCATGAATTTTGTTTGTTATATTTATCATTTCTTTTTACTCATTTGCCTTCTTTAATTGGCTGTGTCAAGTTATCAATATTTTTCTAGGGTTGGCAAACAATAGGGCATATCCATGTGACGTCACAAATGAGTTTGACAATCGCCCTGAGGTAAAACAAATCATTTATTTACATTGGTGTAGATTAGGCCGGTTATGTTTTATGCGGTTTTCACAGCTTTTTTGCAAGTTTTTGTGTTATTTTGTTCAAAAAAAGTTAAAGCAAAGTGTTTATGTTCCAGTCTATGTAGTGTTTTATCCAGAAGTTTGCTAGGTTTTTCTATAATGGGTTAAATTCAGGGTTTTTCCAACAAAAATCAAAACCAAGTGTCACAAGAATAAATATATAAGTATAGTTACTCTATAATTCAATCTATTTTTCTGTCAGATCTTCTCTTTTAAGGTTTAAAGTCAGGCCTATTGTTTATTACAGCAACGCGAGATGTCAGTACTGTCGCCCCTATAGTGTGTCCTAACTTGATAGTCAAGAAAAAATAGAAATCTGCATTTGGTTAAATTGTGTGATGGAAAGTTTTTTCTTTTTTTTTGCCGAAATTCGAAGTATTATTCTGTTCTACATAAACAGGGTTGTAGTTTGGACGAGCACAGATAATTTTGAACGTTCATTCATTATTAAAATTGTTAATCTAGGATGTGATTGTTGTTTTGGTGCTGTGTTTCTTCCACTAGGAAAAAATTATTGATTAACTACGGCACAGAACTATGGGAAGAAAGTGTTTACAATTTATATTTTCCTCTCCTAATTTTTATATTTCAATTCGTTTATATTCTTTAAATGTTTATAAAGTTTTTCGTGTTGTGTTTCCGTTTCAAAAGCATGATATTACCGATAATTTCATGGTTCTTATAGACACCCAGAGAAATCCCAGCAGAACATTAGCGCCCAACGCGGAACTTCGACGAATTGTCGGTGAATTTGTATTTTGTGCGGGACATTTTCAGGTTTTTTCGGCTTCTACGGGATCGTTTGGGACAGAAAATCGTTGCGGACTTTTTAATTTTTTCGAAAACTAATGTTTTGTAAACTTCTGTTGTGTTTAAACAGAATTATTTGAGTTTGGTTGAACTTTGAAGTTCTAGTTGATACTTGTACTGAAATATTTTGTTGGTTCCTCGTTTCTGCCTTTGGATTAGGCAGATAAGTGCCAGAATTTTGGAACTTACGAAGGATTTGCAGGTAAATATAACGATATAGTATCACTTGCGCTTGGGTTGTGAGGAAAACTACCTATTTGGGGACCTAGACGACGAGACTGGAGAAGAAGCTCGGCTGGTCCCTTAGACCGCTTGTCCTCCATTGTTCACTATTCAATTTTTATTTTGTATTAAACTGATTGTTCAATTCAATTTGTGATTAGTTTGAGTCCTGATCACAGGTCAGTTGAATAATTGCTATTTAGTTTTTGAGAGTTCAATTTATACAAGTAATATTTTTTTTCATATCTATGTTTTTTTTTGTTTGTTTATAAAATTTTTTGATAGCATGTGCATTGTTCATGTATTTAACAAAAATCAGATAAAAAAGTAATTTGAAACCAAAGAAATTATATGCTGTCTTTTGTGCTGGGATTTTAATTTTTGGTATTCAGAGCGTACATTAGGGCCTTAGTTGAATCTACTAACACTTTCCTTCCCTGACGAGCGAATATCCTAGCAAACAAATTGAAAAATGAATCTAGAGATATTGGGCATTGATTTTTCTAGTACAGACATTAAACCAAATGTTGTAAAGACTACTAACCGATTGAACCTTTCTCCACATGCACGTCCTATATTAAAAATAGGAACTTTGGGTCACATAGGAACAGGAATTATGGACTCGGCCGCCAAACAAAGCATTGCTGGTCACACATGGCATGGGATCTTGTTAGACTTTGGAAAGAAGTTTGAAACTAAACATTTAAGTTAAAACCTAGCAGATGGAACTGTTGTTGACAGAGATGTAAAGTTAGCCAATGTCGATGTTTATTTAAATGGACATTGTGTACCCACAACTTTTATTATTTTGCCAGATAAGGAAAATCAAGAAGAGTGGATTTTATAACAGATGCCAACATTAATTTGAATATTCCTTGTGCTATTTGGTATTTTAACGATGTAATAGGTGATGCAAATGAACGGCAAACGCGGTGCATCAGTTGTGTTTTGAAGACCTGCTGTCCAACAATCAAGTACCAGTATCAAGTGTTGAACCATTGCATGATGACGAAGGATATATGCTAGCTCCTGAACAGCGTGAAAGATTACAAACTTTTTTGGATCAAAACGATGATATTCTTGGTCTAGGAGGAGATGCCACACCGTATGCCGAGCATTGCATCAACCTGACCGATGACGTACAACCTATTTCAGTACCTCATCCGTACAGAATGTCACCTACTCGTAAGGAGCAGTTACGCACAGTATTAGACAAGCTTCTTAAGGAAAATATTATAGAAGAAACAGAGAGTCCATAGGCATTTCGTGTTGTCTTAGTACCTAGAAAAGGATGGGCAAGTGAGGCTATGCGTCAACTATCAAAACTCAACGCCGTCAGCGTTACTGATTCATACCCTTTACCGCGAATGGATGATCTACATGCAAAACATACCGCTTTCATGACTACCATAGACTTACGATCTGATTATCACCAGATTAGTGTCCGCGAGTATGACCGCAATAAGACTGCTTTCACCACTCCATTTGGAACGTTCCGCTATTTATGTATGCCATTCGGATTGAAAAACGCTCCGGCAACTTTCCAGCGTTTATTGGATGTTTTTCGCCGTAGACTCACAGACGTCTCGAATTTGGCTTATCTGGATGATATGATCGTCTTGTCTTCTGACTTTGAGACGCTTAGTGATCTTCAGAAAGTTTTCAACAGGCTTAGACAATTCAAGTTGCGCGCAAGTCGGGCAAAATGTGTGTTTGTTCGTCCAAGTTTTCGATATCTGAGATACCCAATGGTATATCAGTTAATCCTGAGAAAACTACTGCCATTGCCAGTCTGCCTGCCCCTCGGAAAGAGGTACAGTACAATCATTTCTCCAAGCCTACTCATGGTACCGCAGGTTCATTAGGACCTTCTCTCAAATCTCACGCCCTTTAAGTCAGTTGACCAAAAGGAATATGATTCTTCCCTGAGGTGACCAACCATGTCAAGCATTTGGCACCTTAAAGCAATACCTACTTAGCGCACCAGTATTGCAACAGATGGCGAAACTAAGTCATTTATGATTAGAACGTATGCCAGTTCTCAGTCCTTATGCAATTGGAGCCATATTGCTTCAAGGAGAAGGACCAGAAGAACATGTGGAATATGCGCCGAGATTGTCACTGCAAGCTGAGCGAAATTATACTACAACTGAAAGAGACGCTTTAGCTGCTGTATGGGCTTTAGACAATTTAGAGGATATGTGGAAGGATAACCCTTTCCACTGACCACCAACCATTAAAATGGCTTTTAACACTCAAGACTCGAGCAACAGGACGTCTTGCTCGTTGGGCCTTGAAACTACAGAATTATGATCTAAAGGTTGAATACATTTTGGGGAAGAAAAATGTAATAGCGGATCTTCTATCCTGGATACCCTGTAACCATGAAGATTTAACATCCTGTGATATCTGTGAATTTACAGTAGATGTGCCAGCCTGAACTGTTTATGAGTTACGTACGGAACAGATAAAGGATCCCGAACTTGTTAAAATTATAAACTGTTTTGGGAACAATGAAGATAACAAAGGTGTGGAATTATTAGTGGGTTTAGGGATCGATAGTGGTAGTAAAAGTCACTTTTTTAGCAAGCCCCTATCCAGTGTCGGACTGGGGGTCATTTGGCCCACCGGGCAAATGGTGAAGTGGCCCACCCAACCCAAACCCTAT